TCTACAGCACAGTCACTTTAACTCAGAGTTTCCATTTATCATATATGACCAAAACAACCAGTTGGTGGTCCTGAAACAAAGCTTCCCCTTCACAGAACCATGTTTTAACAGTTTAAATCTAAAGTGTGGTTATAACCAAAGATTTAATGTTAGCATGCAGTGGCTGAATACCCACAATGCATTGCTGATTGAGTCATAAAAGTGCTTGTCTTTTGTTGATTGTTTACAGGGCTGTAATAGTAATAGACATGCCTGTTTTCCCCCCCATCAAGCTCCATTAATTATAATTGGAGAAATCAATGAAAATATCTCACAATGTAAAAGGAAGTGAAAAAAAGCCTGGATATGCCAACCTATAAAGTATTTGCACAGCTCAATCTATTTTGCACTATTCTGGTTCACACTGCACTGACTGTCGTTCATATCCTATCTACCTGCGCCTTGTTTTAATTGTACACAATGTTGTGTACTGATATATCACTTGAGCAGGTAATATGTTGAGTGTTTTTCTTTTACGTTAAGTACATAATTGTTTTACACTGGGGAGCAGAGGGAAAACTGCATTCCAATCCTGTCTTTGTCTTGTACACATGGCAGAGCTGACATTGAAGTTGGCTTACCCAAGGAATTTGATGGTTCCTGTTATGCAGGAAATTAAAATGTTTCCCCACACAACTATATGACTCCCTCCATAATAAATTCACTCCAATGTATCTCATAGCCAGGAAATAACACTAAAACTTCGCATTAAAGAGGAAATGACATCAGACTCAAAGTTTGACCTATTATAATATATAAAAGTAACTTTGACTAAAAAAATCAATAAATATAATTGGGACTTATCCCTTGAAATAAGTTAACCACTTCACCAGCACACTCTTAAGGGACATTAAATTGCAATACTAACCAATTAATTTACTATTATACATGGTACTTAAAGAACCACTCTGATCATATTCTCCCCCTCTATGTCCCACAAGGAGACAAAGAACGTTCATCAATGACAGAGGACATATGAACTGAATCATTATCCAATGTCCGCTTCACGCTCAGGAGAGAATATAACADCTCATCATCATGGTTAGCGAGACCAATCACTTTAGAAACACATTTCTCAAGTTAAGTACTATAGAAATGATCCCTGAAAGTATAGTCTTAGTTAAACTGAGGGCGAGAGAGGGASGCCRTCTACAGCACAGTCACTTTAACTCAGAGTTTCCATTTATCATATATGACCAAAACAACCAGTTGGTGGTCCYGAAACAAAGCTTCCCCTTCACAGAACCATGTTTTAACAGTTTAAATCTAAAGTGTGGTTATAACCAAAGATTTAATGTTAGCGTGCAGTAGCTGAATGCCCACAATGCATTGCGGGTTGAGTCATAAAATTGCTTTGAGTTTTTGTGATTTTGTTGATTGTTCACATGGCTGTAACAGTCCACGACTCCAGCAGTGATCGGATTGTCTGGAGTCATCGAAACAAGAGAAGAAGAACCGTGCTTTAAGCGTTGAAAGTATTAAAGTTTGGCTTTAAAGAGTTAGACATAGAGCGGTCCGTCGCTTATAAAGTTCCGGGCAGAAAGCACACGAAGAAGGATTGTTCCGGGCACAACTTTCGACGCCTTTCAGATACACTTCAAACCAACATGTCTGTATGAGTGATATCAACACGTTTAGTTTCTTATATACACAAAGGAATTGGTCTAATATGAATTGAACTGAATTGAATACCTTTTAGTTCATTCATTTTGCCATGGATTTTTGTGAAGCATTTTGTTATCTTGTTTAGATAAGTGCTAAAGTTGTTATCACTATTATCATTATTAGATTAATATCACTACATGACATCGAAAACGGCCCAACGTGTAGATTAACACAATGTTTCACCAGAGGTTAGTCTGGGTCGGCTTCGTCTACTCCGACACAAGATGGCAGCATTTCTTCAGCTAGGAGTTGCACAGGTCAACAGTCGAGCTCGGTGAATTCATGCAAATGTTTAAGTCCATTAAGTTCCATAAACTACACACGAACATACACAGAAACACAAAACAAACAACACAGCCAACACAACTACTACGAATTAAATGTGAAGAACAGGTCAAGACAACAATGCTAATTCATTTAGCACTGGTTAGCATTTAGTGCTACTGATGCTCCTCTTTCTCCAGTGTTAACTAACTTTCTTTGAAACGCCATTACTTCCGACACGAACACAAACAACTTACCCACAAAGCAGATGTGAACCTGCCGCACACGTGTTGCTTTTGTCGCAGTTAGATTCCGTTTGAACGCATTAGCTCAGGTGTGTCATCTCCACCACGCACCCGCGCTAGTCAAGTGGTTACGTATAAAAAAACAAACATGCGCAGTGAATAGCACGGATCTCACACGTGTTCCCAAAATAGTTTATTCATGCACGATGTGACAAATACACAGACAAAAAGACAAACCATTTACAGTTTGTCTGAAAACTTGACACTGGGCAACTTTCTTTACACATTTCAACTTTCAGCTTTTCTTCTTATCTTTGGTCAAGACATTCAAAATTGATGATCCGGAAGTAATTCATATATATAACAACAATAAAGGTTTGATTTAAATCACACATAGTATTTATAACAGATTTATTGCACCTGCTCTGCTGTTTTTCTTTTAAATATACAGTGATGACATAATTGCAGTGAGAGTCTGGTTTGTTGTTGACAAAGACAAATTAAAGGAAAAACCTATGTAAGTTATTTGGTAAGGCTAAGGTTGCCATAACAAGTTCAACAGATACTTCCTCATTTGGTGTTATGATGATAGTCGTGGAGCCGCTGTCTAACATGTCCATAATCTCCCATAGGTGTTTCATTGGTTTGAGATGTGGTGACTGTCAAGGTCAACACATATGATTTGCATCATTTCTATTCATGACACCTCATGCCCTATGAATGGATTCATGTCATACCGCCACTATTTCTTCAGTTTTTTTCCTTCATTTTATCACACCTGTATGTTATTCATGCACCAAGGTCTCTGAAACACAAATCAAGTGAAGACAATAAGGTTTGAGTCTTGAGAGAATTTAGAAATTACTAAAAAAATATCTCTTTCCTCATCTTCCATGTTTTGTAGCCTACTGTTGCATCCAGGTCAAAGACATCCCAAGTTCTGTAGTATT